CATCGTGTGATCTTCAGCTTCGCAAAGTGACATCATGGTTAGTGGTTGACTCAATAACAGCGTCCTCGATGAAATGGAACCTGTGGCCGTATTCATCAACGAACCCAGTGGGTTCCGCCACCCACTGGGTTTCAAACTTCTGAAGGGAGCTTTCGTCAAGATATACCTTGCATCAACGAGAACAACATGTGAGTTAAGGGTGCCTTCATACCGCGCCGGCAGCCGCCGCTGGCAGCCCGAGCAGCCGCTGGTAGCCCGTAGCAGCCGCTGGCAGCCCGTGGCCGCCGCTGGCCGCTTTTGTCACAGAAGCCAAAATCATCGAACTCTTACCACTTTGAGTGCGCCCGTCCATCTCTCACGCTTCTTTCTTCTCGCTGCGCTAATGTTCAGTTCCACTTTCACCATTACAGAGTTATTCAAGATATGCACAGAACAAGGATATGATTGAAACAGAACCACACATAAAAAATAACACTGCAGAAATTTAACGCATAAAGTCGCATAATAGTTCAACTGAAACTGAGCACCAAGGGATAACCAATGTACGACAATAAGATAATAACAATATGGACGCAAATATCATATATGAGATCAAATTGCGACAACAGGAAGAAAAAAGCGCAGAAGACTGAAAGCGTGGTCGATTGCACTTAAAATAGTAAGAATTTGATGATTCTGCGCTTCTATGACAAAAGCGGCCAGCGGCGGCTACGGGCTGCTGGCGGCTGCTGTGGGCTGCTACGGGCTGGTGGCGGCTGCTACGGGCTGCCAGCGGCTGCTACGGGCTGCCAGCGGCTGCTACGGGCTGCCAGCGGCGGCTGACGGCGCGGTATGAAGGCACCCCAAAGAAAGATTTCCTGGAATATAGTGGACGCCGACATTCGTTCGCGACGACCGCTCGTTCACGCTGGTGTTCAAGGCACGGCGAGGGCAATTAGGTTTTACGGCGCCTATAGTTACTTACGTAAATTACAAAAGTGTGCAAACGACTTGTCTATACTTGTAATAACGAATATAACCTTCAAAAATACTTGAAAAGTCAAGTTAAAATTTTTGGGGGCTCTATTTTCCTAAAATTTCGAGATGATGGGCCCGGAAAAGTTTTGAGGAGGATTCCGAAGAAATTCTAGTGCTTGGCTAATGCCGCCTTCATTAGGAAAAAATTTTGTCGCCCCACCCTCCGAACAAAATTCCTGGGTTCGCCATTGTCGTGCACCTATTGTTTTCTTTTTGTTTTTGAGAGAATGTAGCCTCTGGCGTCATGATTAATGGAATAGCCATAGCTGCTTCAACTAGACTATTATTTTTTGCAATGAACCTCTGTGCATTTTCGATATCATATTTTCAAGATTGTTGTTTCCTCTTTTTACCAACAGATATAATTTCCGTTCATTCAAACGAAAAGCACATGGCAGCTTGTCATGCTATTACATAGAACTCACATCTACCATGTATCCACCTAAGCCCAGTGGCTTCCAATACTGGTACTGCGTTATATGCTCTACTTATTAGAGCACCATCACTGGATCCATCAAAGTGAACACAACGGACGCAGTGCACACGTTCACAGCTGTAAGGGGAGTTATCGGTAACACCATTCGCTACCAAAGTAGTTCAAAGCTTTTTACCTTTAAAAGGCTTAGCTGTTGCAATAGGATAGGTATGCCCAAACTGTTTGCAGCTAAGCTAACTCTGAGCACGAGAATGTGTCTTTCATAGCTGGAACTTGAAGATAGCAGTATATCCTATCTCTTTCATAAGCTTTCAGCGAAATTGCTATTTTGCGTAATGTCAAAACATTAGAGGTCCTATTTGACAATAAGTTAGAGTTTTGAAAAGATTCAGAGAGTTTAATTTGGCATGCTGTGCATTGTGCACCAAGATGCACGAAGGGTTTTCGCAGAGGATCAAGCGCGGATAACCTTGTTCAGAGATAGTTCCGTCAAACCTTATGCTGTTTCACGCAATGCAGACTTTTGAGTAATGGCAACACCGAATCTAGAAAAAAAAATTGAGTTCTGATAATAAGGAGCAAAAGCCTGATTGTCTTTTGCTATGGGCGGCGCACGTAATTAGATTTCACAGCTTGACAACGAGCTCCAGTGCTTCATTATGCTGTGATGGTGATTTTGACCGTTCGACTCGCGAGAAGTAATGAAAGTTAAAGGCACCGTCCACTCTAAGCGGAGTTTTAGCAGCTTACGATAGTAGAACCCCTATCAAGCCGACGCGGCGCTTTGGTAGCGAAGAGTATGAGGACGCCAAGTCGACAGCGCCCTCTCCAGTAATGTCCGCCCACCCCTGCGCGCCCATCCAATCACCGTTTCGGAGAGGCGGCCTGCGGTTCTTGAGCGAGGACTGTTGAGGTTTTCGTGGATTCTCGACTTCATATTCGCAATTAAGGACATGGTAAGACCCCAGAACGACAAAAAAAGTGAAAATCGAAAATCTGGACGGTGCCTTCAAGCGTAACCATGAGGAAAGCCAAGTGCAGCCACCTGCTTGCACCTTTTAGGTTTGAAGGCATCTACGCCATTTAGTCAAGGTCTTTATACCCGCGCTGATCAGGCAAAACCAAAGAAGTTTGGTAACAATATGAACTTTGCTTGCAAAAACATTGGACATGATGAATGAGTCTTCGAAATGTTCAACTTGTTAACGGCAGACAAAACACACAAGTTCAAAATCAGTTGAACACTTCTTTAAATATACAATCCCCTCTGTATACCCCCTTAATAACGGTCAAGGGATCAAGTGGTATCAATTTTTTAAATGGAATGGTACACTGACTTCCCACAGTTGAAGTTAGAACATCTCGGTCCTTTTTCGATGAAGGGAATCTACTCGGTAGCAATGGGCAATCAAACTCGGTGGTATGCTTATGTCTCTAAGTATTTATTTGAGGCTCCAATGGTATTAGACTGTAATGTTATCCAAATCCTTTTCATATATTATTCTCACAATATTTTAGATATAACTGCTCTATAAGAAACTGTTCAACCTTTTTCGGAAATGCGTGTGTGTTTTGTCTGCGGCTGCTAATTCGAACAATTTAATGACTCAGTCATCATTGCTAATGTTTCTGAAACCAAAGAGTTTATTGTACAAAATCTTGGTTTTTGCACTATCATCGAGGGTATAAAGACCTTGGCTGCGCCGCGTAAGTATTCAGGCTTAAAATGAGCAAAGCAGCTGGCTGGATTCGGCTTTTCTCATGTTCACTTTGACTCTCATTACTTCTCTTAAGTCGAGTGGTCTTACAATTGCGGTATAGCGGAGTTTTGGGAAGCATCTTGTGTCATGCTGTGAGATCTAATCACTCAGACAATCGCAAATGACTTCCGGGAGAAACTGAAGTTCTAAAACTTCCGGGGCGGACGCTTCCATTGGGCCTTATGGGTGGGCCCTGCCCTACCTGGCCCCGCCCTACCTGACAGCTCCAATGAGAGTGTTCCCCCGGAAGTTTTAGAACTTCAGCTTTCCCCGGAAGTCATTTGCGATTGTCTGAGCAACTGCCCGCTTATCGTGAGAGATAGCTTCTGCTCCTTGAAACAAATTCTCATCAGAATCGATGTTGCCATTAACCAAAAAATAACCTGCATTGCATGAAAAAGTAAAACTACTCCTGAACAAGGTTATGCATAATACTGCAACAACTGCTCGCACATCTTGGTGCACAATGCACGGCATGTGCAATTAGGTCCTTTCAATTTCTTCAAAAATCTAACTTATAGATGAACTAGCTGGCTTACCCGGCTCCGCCGTATCCGGACCAAACTTGGCACACATACACTTCGGGCCCCGGCGGGTGTCACAGTCCACTTTTCGTTATCGATCGATGTCGATTTTACCGATTTTTATCGTTTTCTTTGCAGAGTTCACCTACAGGGCTAGGAGTTGGCACAGGGGGGGGGAAGTGAGCATGGGGATTCCGAATACAGTATTAATTTTCAGAATTATCGATTACTTTTATTGATTTTATCGATTTTTTGTAAATTTTGACATGCGAGGCTGGGATTTTGCACAGGGGGTAATCGAGCATGTTGATTACGAACACAATATTAGTTTTCAGGATCGTCCATCACTTTTATCGATTTTATCGATTTTTTTGTAAAGTTTGACCTGCGGGGCTGGGAGTTTGCACAGGGGGTAATCGAGCATGCAGATTACGAATACAATATTAGTTTTCAAGATCGTCCATTACTTTTATCGATTTTATCGATTTTTTGAAAATTTGAGCTAGGGGGCTGGAATTTGGCACAGAGGTGTAATCGAGCATGCTGATCACCCCCTTGGGGATGATCAGCATGCTCGATTACCCCCCTGTGCCAACTCCCAGCCCCCTAACTCAAACTTTGCAAAAAAATCGATAAAATCGATAAAAGTAATCGATAATCCCGAAAACCAATATTGTATTCGGAATCCCCATGCTCGATTACCCCCCTGTGCGAACTCCCAGCCCCGTAGCTCAAACTTTGCAAAAAAATCGATAAAATCGATAAAAGTAATCGATAATCCCGAAAACCAATACTGTATTCGGAATCCCCATGCTCGATTACCCCCCTGTGCCAACTCCCAGCCCCGTAGCTCGAACTTTGCAAAAAAATCGATAAAATCGATAAAAGTAATCGATAATCCTGAAAACCAATATTGTATTCGGAATCCCCATGCTCGATTACCCCTCTGAGCCAATTCCCAGCCCCGTAGGTGAACTCAGCAAAAAAATCGATAAAAATCGATAAAATCGATATCGATCGATGACGAAAAGTAGCCTATGACACCCGCCGGGGCCCGAAGTGTATGTGTGCCATGTTTGGTCCGGATCGGTTCAGAAATGGAATTTTCTATTCGGAACATACGTACATACATACAGACATACATACAGACAGACATACAAACAGACATTCAGCTTTATATATAAGATAAGACCTTTTATCGCTCAATATTGATTAGCAAATAAGTTTCGTCGATAGCTTACGAAGCATGATATACTCCTATCTTTGAGATTCAATTATGAAAGCCATTCTTATTCTGCTCATAGTTGTGATAGCTGCAGCACAGTTTGGACATGCCTATCCGACTGTGACAGCTGAGATTTCTGAAGGTAAACAATTTCGGATTATCTGCTTAAGTTGTTACCGATAACTTCCTTTACGACAGAAGCAGAATTCGAAGAAACACCCGAGATAGCAGGAGATGAGCGCAGTGAGAGAACAAAACGTTGTGCTGTAATCTGCTTTGTATGAAATCAAGAATTAAGGGTTATATGCAACTATCAACTAGTATACATGTTTATTTTAGAAGCATGGAGATCACTTCCACTGTCTCCGTCGCAAGTGCTGATTGTTGGAACGCGGCTAGTTACCCAGCACTTTTTATGTTTGAGTAGTTATAAACGAATTATTGCACACAGAGATTGGACGCTGTTGTGTTCAATTAGGCGTGTTTTTGAGGGTTAACGGATAGTATTAGGTTGGAAACAAAGTTCCCGGACATTTTTAGACAAAATCGGTCATGTCTTGAAATTTAATGCATGTCCATGCAGAAAAATTCGGTCATCTCACTTGCATGTAGCTGAAATTTAAGCAAGTGGGAGGAGCCTGGGATCAATGAGGGCGGAGTTTGCCACTTTTCAATTACCTCGTTTTTCTTGTTGTTTAAGCTCAAATTTGATCCGAACTGTGCATTTAAGTTTGTAAGTATGTGTATTACTATACATTAGAGCATGTGGGGGTTTCATAACATTTATAGAATTTGGAGATCTGGGTTCGAGCAAAAACCTATGCTTTAGGGTTTTCGCTTAAATTTTCACTGAGAACATTGCAAAGGATTGCGTTTACCACTGTTTTGTAGAGATTGCTTTCCTATCCAATGGTGTGCAGCATGACCCATTTAGTGTTTACATCGAAACAAAAACTTTGTCCAAAAGCAATGTCCGACAACTTTCTTTCCAACCTAATAGAAGGAATAAAATTCTTGACTTTAGGGACCACAGCGTCTGTAGCGGCACCCTGTCTTTGAGGGCTATAACTCGCATCTATGCTTAACTAGGTGCCATTATTAGGTTTTAATTGAATTTTTGTTGACCGGAAAAGCTTGGTCAAAGAGAAGTTCATATAAGGCGAGAAGGTGTTAGAATTTGTATGGGCAACGCAGAATCCTTCAAAACTCTATTCAAATTGTGCTTATTTTAGAGAAGCACAACACTTGCAGCTGTTTTTCAACCGTTTGTAACACTGTTCGGATTGCAGTTGTTCCTTTGGTGTTGTCGTTTCTTATCAAGAAAGTAAATCATGAAGTTTTGCACCTGTAGTGGTCACCTTCTCAAAAAATAGTGATTGTTTCAAATTTCTGCAACTAGGCGAATCAAACTTGAGAAGGTCCATTATAATGGATAAGTCTGTTCTCTTGTTCTAAAATGATTTGATTTGCCAACACTCTTTAAAAATTTGTTGTACAAAATGACAAAATCTAAGTAGAAAGGTTTGAGCGCATCTTGAAAATTCCTAATAATTCATAGTAAAGAGAGTCGGTGTTCTCTCTGAACTCTACATCAAAGTTGAAGGCAGCTCTACAGAATAATACCCATAAGCCCACTAGGACGTTAACGCAAGCGGGATATCAATCAAACTATGGGTACATATTTTTGGGTCGGCGTCCTGATATAAAACTTTTGGGTCGGCGTCCTGATATAAAATTGAAGAAGAGTTGTCGTTCAAATAAAGTCTCAGGTATCGAGTGTTATCAGATGGTAGAGTGGAAGAGGTTCCGTTGCCGAAGGGCTTTGCTTACATGGCCAGCTGATATGCTGAGATGCACGACTTGGGGCAGATCGAGCCGAAGCCTATCAAATAACGTTTACTAATTGGATAATTCTGTACGAATCGCACAGTACGATGTTTTCCAAAAACCCTCCCCATCCTTGCCATTTGTATAATGCCAAAACGTTGACTCAATAAAATGTTATATCAATATTTAGATAAACGCATTCGACAAAAAGTAATGCTAGAGATTTTATCCAAGTATGTATTAACCTGATCAACACATCAGAAGAAAGCGCTCTTGAGGTTAGATTCGTAAAAATATGCAATCGCATTGTTTCATTTGTAGATCTAGTTATGTGTTATGTTATTTACCTTATACACAGTCTATTCGCATATATAATTGTTCAAGATGTAATACAACCACATTTTTATTCATAAGAATGATGAGCAGGGAGTTCTCAACAGTCAGGTCCAACCGTAGTTACGCTGCATTGAATTGTTGGATTGATTTCCCCGGTAATGGCGAAAACCCAGTTGCCAGCCGCGTTGCATGTGATTAGATTTGGTGGGAGATCAGCGGTACCGCATCCTCCATTCAGAATGTAGGGGACACCGCCCTGAAAAGATTTACAGTACTTGAAAATGTGAGTATGACAGAAGCACCACGGCAACATTTCCGGGAGCTTTCGCCTACGAAAGAAGGACTGTTGCTGTTTATCTTTCTCCTTTCTTGATTCCAAATATTGAAAGTCCAACCACTTAAAATAGTTAATTCACTAACTTTGACTCTTATAGAGCTTGGGTGGAGGCCATAAAATTGTCTGTCGCTTGATTCTAATAATGGGGGACTTTAATTTTTTGGAAATGGCGTATTCCACATTCTAGCAGAATACGGACACTTTATACATTAATTGGCAATAATACGATTTTAAAGAGAGATGCACTTGTGTTCATTTCACAGCAAGCCAATTCGTTTTCTTTATTTTTTAACCGTTTGGCTTTTTTACATTGATGTGAGCCAATTGATATTCAGACACTCAAAGCCGTCAAAGAGGTTGTCATTGTCAGAGTAAGTGTATTTAACTTTCGATGACCTCGCTTTTACCTTTCTTCCTTCCTTCTCTACTATCTTTCTTTTCGAAACATAGGCTTTGTAACTTCCGCATTCTTTACCATCTCTTTCACGAATTTTTTACGCTTCCAAAGTAGGTCATTTGTATCCACCAAATCTTGCAAGACAGGTCTCTAACGAGGAACGTTCGCCTGTTTAAAGTGGCGATTCGGAAGGTGATGTGCACCTTCGGATAGAGCCCAAAAGGCTGATCTCAAATTTGGCTTCTATATCTGCGAATGGTTTTCCTATAGAAAATGATGGGCGTATTTGTATTTATAATGGAGATGTGGGTCTAAGGAAAATGACGACTGTGAATAACATCATGGATGGGCAACACTCGAAAACCTTAGATGATATCAGATTAGACCTACAACGCTTATTAGGGGCTTTGCTTGAGCCTGCATATTTTTGTGTGAAAATTACCGTAATTTTACGACCACGCAAGGAAATTTGGAAGAAAAGCTCATAACTTTTCCCAGAAGAACGCATCGCAGATATAGAAGGTACACCTGACATCAGCGTTCAAAGCTCTATCCATGGGTGTACATCACCTTCCGAATCACAACTTCGACCAAGCAAACTCTCCTTGTAAAGAGCTGAGGGGGAGGGAGAGAAGGAGGGAGGGAATTGCAGTTCGTTTTATTGGTGAGTCGGATAAAGCTAGGGCAAGAAAGGAATGGAAGAAGTACTTACCACAAATACTTGCACAAGAGTATCTCGATTAGCGTCCGCAAAACAAGTTGCCATTGCTACCTCACAACCATCTACTATAGAAGTTGTGATCACAGCCCGTCCATCACGGTTGAACTCATCTGTTCCAATACTTGCTTGCATCAAAGGACTAGTCACTGAGCAAGTTGTGCATGCTGAAATTTGCTTCACCTCAAGATGTAATGATAGAAATAGAAAGCTTACAAAGGAATTTGCTACAAACAATGTAGTAGGAGACAGTAGGTGCAGAAAGGTGAAAATTTGCTTGCTCAAAATTTCAACTTCGGTGAAACTGCAAAGTTGCTCAAAGAACAGGGTGTTTTGAAGCATGTTTAGCGTATAAATGTTATTCAAGGCTACTCCTATTCTTCGAGATTATCATCTCTCCCAATTTTTCCTCACAGCATGAATGCTTCAGATCTTGATTTTTTCGCAGTTAAGAGCAAATCAAAACATTTGCTCAAAATTGCTGCAAAACAAGGAATAATATCCTCTATTTTTGCAAAGGAGAGAAGATGATATGCATTAAGAAGAAACTGCTTTGCCCTACGCTGACTCTTCTATATGTCTTATGGTTTTACAAGATATATCTTAATGTTAGCAGTTGTAAGACATAGAAACATGAGTTTTTAGCCATGCCAATAATATGATTGTGCATTGGCATGAAAAGAAGTTTGCAAATAAGAAGTGTCCCATTTTTGGACCGATTTTTGGGAGTATTGGAATTTTGGGAAATAGGAAAAAACACAGGGTGTCTAAAAAAATGCGCCTACTTTGATCGTTATCAACTCTCTTGGTATGAAGTCTATTGACAAGTTTCAGGTTTTTTGTAGAGTGGCTTCACCTCAAAATTGCCATTTTAAGCGAGTAACCGTTTTTTCTTCATTTGTTAGATTATGGTTGGAACCTCGCGGGGGGTTTTGCGTCATCAAGGGTCACATTTTACCATTAAAAAAGAGCCAGAGGTGCTGAAAACTCCTACACCAGGTTAATCAGGGTCGCTCATTGTTTCAATTGCCTATTTCACCGGGGCACCATATGCTGCTAGCTCCTACCGTAATCTCACAGTAATGGAGAGAAAATACGTGTTCGAGTCATGCAATCAGTCTAAGTTGGCTCCACAAATTGGTACCTAAACCTTCTCGAAGATTCCATGACAAGGGATTATTAACAATCAAACAGTAAGCACATTTGTTGAGACGTCCTATACATTCAATTAGAGGAAGTAGGGACAGGATAAAACTCTTGATTTTGAAAAAGAAAACAGATTTTTTATACTTACGCATGGGTGGAGTGATGGTCGTAGTGGTAATTGTTGTAGTCGTGGGTGTAGTTGTAGTAGTGGTTGTTGTAGTCGTTGTAGTCGTCGTGGGTGTTGTGGTAGTTGTCGTTGTGGGAGTTGTGGTAGTTGTCGTTGTGGGAGTTGTGGTAGTTGTCGTTGTGGGAGTTGTCGTAGTCGTTGTCGTGGAAGTTGTAGTAGTTGTGGGAGCTGTCGTGGTAGTCGGCACTACTCCAAAGTTCGTTGACGTCGTGGGAGCTAATGTAGTAGGTCTAGCCATCATCGTAGTTGTACGCGGTGTTGTCGTTCGAGGCTTTGTGATCGTAGGAGTGGGACTAAAATTCTTAGATTTTGGAGCCGTAACTTTCCTCTCGCGCTCAATAGTCTTTTCCGTTTTGCATATCTGATCTCTCTGTTGCATTTTAATTAACTTAAAATTGGAAGATGTAACATGACAATGTAAGTCTGTAAGCCAATACTATTAGTTGTCTCATAATATTTTTCCGATTTTACCAAAATTCTAGTCTTCTTTTTTCTTTGCTTTATTGAGTGCAGCTTGGGTCACCGTTCGTTAGAGCAAAGCAAGATCTACAAAATAGTCGCCTAGTATCCACCAGAATTGTATTTGCGCGAAGTTTATAGCTACATGCTGATAATAGTCAGAAATGGAGTTAAGCTTTAACCAATGTTTTTTCCGTTCCAAAACATCCTATAGATATCCCAGTCACCCAAACAGGTACTTGATACATCAGAAATTTCACAGCAGTTCCTTTATATCCTCCTTTAGTAGAAATGAAGAAGGAAATAAGGGTAAGGCAAACTCCCCCTATTTTTCAAGCAAGCAGCTTGCCCGCACCATTGTCGTAGAATGGTCGCCCTCCCACACAGTTCTTTCTGGTAAGGAGCAGCACGAGAGAGGGTCCTTTGGTCGTTGATTTTGAAGAAAAGCAGGTGCGTCTTGAACTCGTAGAACCAGGGTATGTAGTTTATGCATTTAACCTTGTAGGTGCTCTTGCTCTCAACAAATACTATTCTTAATACTGAGCTCGGAAAATAATGAGACAATTGAATAGTTTGCCAAATTGTGAGCAATTGGCCATCCAAAGCTTGAAAAAATTGTGTGTGAATTGAAATTTTGAACGTTAATTGCTAGTAACTGGGAGTTCTTTTATGGGAGGATTTGTGCTCCATAAAAAATTGCTACACCATTATAATAGTTTAGACTCAAAAGTAATGGCGCACATGGAACATAAGTGGAGCGCTAATGCAAGCTAAAAAACTTATACAGTGCTGGCCATAGCTATAAAGCCATCCTAAAAATCACTGTAATTTGCTCCTTCTTGCTCAAAATTGTCTGAAAAATCGCTATTCTGTGTACAAACTAACGTCGTATCATTGACCAGAACGGCTCCCGATTTCATTGAGTTTTCCGGAGAAAAACTGAAAAATTTGAGAAAAGGGGTTCTTAAGGCTGGTCACAGCTAATAGGCTGGCTAATAAATAAATTCGTTTTGACATGCAAATTCAAAGCTTCATAGCAATTTACGTAAAAGCTATTCAGCTAAGATTTTTTGTGAGAAGGTAGCCTCAAGCCTCTTTTTCAAATATTAAATAGTCGAGATTTTCTGTTACCAAAAAATGACAGTCATAACCTTATATGGTCAGACTTCTAAAAAATTGCTTTTTTGAATTTCTAGCTTTCGTTCTCAGCCTACAGTGAGTACACAGGCGAATAATTTGATGACTGGGTACATACAGCCTCTAGCTAGGTGGCGAACCACAATAGAGATTGTGACCTGCTGTTTCCGAATTTCTGCAGTCAAAACTGAGAAAATTTCCAGGCATTTGAGCGTGAAGGTCAAATTTTGGGCATCCCAGATAATTTGAATTTGGCCACCTATGGACATGCAAATGATTGGAAATTCAAAAGTTGTTTAGGTAGCGACTCTACACTTTAGGCCTGACTTCAGTTCGTTTTTTGAAACGTGATTTTTCGAAATTTTGCGGAAAAAATGTGACCATTTCTCTTTCCTTCACCATTCCATTATCAGAGAAATTACTTTTGAGAGAATAGAGTCAACCATCCGATTCTCCTTGATTTGGCCTTTTCAACGGTACCATATATATGCACAAAAACTAATTTGTGACAATTCTACAGACCGCTAAAAACGACCGAACTTATTTTTTAGCCAACCTAATATAAAGCCACCTCTCGTTTCCAATCAGTACAATGTTTTTTGAGGCTGAAATTTTTTGTACATATACAATATCAAAATATAAAACATCTACCACACTTGGAAGCAATCGCCTTTGAAAAGAAGATTCATCCTGCATTTTCTGCTTCAAAATGTATAAAAAGTTATAATGTTTGGAAAAACTGCTTTTTCACCAAAGCCTCAAGCATTTGTTTGACTCGAATGAAGGTCCTAGGCTTCGGCGAGCCTTTGCAATGAATACAGTAAAGGCGCAGGAGTCAACACGGCGTAGTCGCTGGTATTGATATACGAGGCTCAATCTTACTTAGGTGTAAAAGCACTTCTGAAACGCAAATGTCTATTTCTGACGCGCAAAAATTCTCTGTTGGAAGTTGACACCTTGTTTGCATGGTGACGTACTCATGCAGAAGCTGTCAGGGTTTTTACAAAGACGTATTTGCAGCATTGAACTTAGAACGCCTTGTCTGCAGTTCGGTTGTGCGCAATGTATCTTACATGATCAAATTTTACCGCTTTGAACTCCTCTTTAAGTCAAATCTTACGAAACTGTCAGGAATACAAGAATTTTGAACTTTTGAGCGGTTTTCTGCTCGATCGAGAGGTCAGAGTGTGTCACGATCAGGCGAGTGCACCACTCATTTTTGAAAAAAGGCGTCTAAGGCGGAACCAAAATCCTGAGAGTTGCGATGACGTTTAAGCTATGCGCACGAACCTGTCGTTGTACAGGCGACGTGCTGAGCACGTGACAGAACTTTTCGGGCATTAAAACTCAATTTCTGCGGTTCGAAAACTCGTCTACGTGGAGGTGAGGTTGGGGCTCGTTTATCTATATCAGCGAGTACGCTATGTTGACTCCTGCGCTTTCCACCATATTCATTGCAAATTCTTTGCGGAGCCTAGGACCTTCATCCGAGTCAATCAAATACTTGAGAATTCAGTGAAAAGGCAGTTTTTCCAAACACTATAACTTTTCATACATTTGAGCAAAAAATGCAGCATAAATCTTTTTTTCAAAAAGTCGACTGGTTCCAAATGTGATAAATGTTTTAAATTTTGATCTTGTATATGTAGAAAAAATTTCAAGTTCAAAAAACGTAGTACTGACTAGAAATAAGAGGTGGCTTTATAGCTGTGACCAGCCTTAAAAACCCTTTTTTTCTAATTTTTAAATTTTTCTCCGGTTAAAATCAGTGAAATTGAGAGCTGTCCTGGTCAATGGTATAACGTTAGTTTGCACACAGAATAGCGATTTCAGACAATTTTGAGCAAAAGAGAGCAAATTACAGTGATTTTTAGGGTGGCTTTATAGCTATGGTCAACCCTATTCTGCTTCGGTTACATGAAGTTGTTCTGTGCTCCCTGAAAGTGCCCAATTTTACATCAAAATGAATAATATAAACCCTTTCAATGCAGAGAAACAACTCCTTGCAGTGCTGATGATCTTAAAAACCTTGGCCTATTTTCAATAGGGTGACAAAATTTGGTAGTTTTGCTCCAAATTTTTCACAACTCATTACAACTTTGACTACTTTCATCATACTTTAGCAACTGCTCTATAGGAACAATTGTGGAAATATAACGAGTCTTTTCAAAGTTTTTTTTGGAAGTCTAGCTGCCTACAAAACACTTCTTGAAAAGATTCGTCTCGTAACATTATGTGAGAAACAGTCTTGAGAGATCAAGTTTCATAAACGGTAGCTAACTCTTTTGCCTTTTTGGTTCTCGGAGGCTAAAGATATGAAAATGAAGAGCGGCCACACTCGTCACAAAGTTTACTCTCTCCCTCGGGTAAAAATTTCAGATTAAATTTCTGAAATAACTTAAACATCGTGTATTGTTCTTCTGCCAATCAGGTTTGTGGTGGATCTTTATTGACCTTACGTTTCGACTAATATCGTCTTCTTCGGAGGTCTGAAAAGGAATTGCGGTGATATTATCTGTTAGTCTACACGACCAAACGCCTCATAAGACTTCCGTCGTTTGAACCTCGTCTGGGCGCAACGTGCCGAGAAACAATCCAAAATGGACCAACCTCTAATCCACCTTGGAGTCAGTAGGCCGCACGGATGTGACGGACATCACTGAGGTTGCTTAGTGAGTCAAGGAGTATATATACTGTGCGGTTTGAGGTCACATAATGACATAAGAGGCATGAGATCAGGTCAACAAAGATCCACCACAAACCTGGTTGGCAGAACATACACGATATCCGATACAACATGCCCAGGTTTAAAGAAGAGAGTACGTGAAAATAACTTAAACAATTCTCCTATGCCGTAAAGGTTTTTATTGGTGACAGACTTAATTACTGCCTTACGTTTCGGTTGAACACCGTCTTCAAAGGCCTGGAAAGGAGTCAGTGAAAAACCTCTAAAACCTGTAGGGCATAGAAGAATTGTTCAAGTTATAAATTAAATGTCCGGGCTACAAGAAAAGAGGACCTATAGTATAATTTCTGAAAATAACTTTTCTGTTTGATGGCATCAAGCAAAAAGAATATGGTTTTTTTGATTAGGTAGATAAGGTTCTGCAACAACGACTTTCTGATTGCCTCCGTTAACCACAAATCTGGATATGTTCTCAACGTTGATGAGAAGATAACACTTTTCATTTCTTGTAATATTTGGTCATAACGTGAATGATTCGAAATCATCACGGGCGTTGAGTACAATGACAAGAGGTAGAAGTACTAAACAAATCGTTAAAGTTTGAAACCCGTCCCGAACATGCGTGACCTTGAGGAGTGGTTCTAGCTGGTTTCGGGGCCAAACGGAACATCGTATTTTTAGAAGTTTGAAACTGATACGGGAGCAGGTGTTCTCGATAAGGGAAGCCTATTAATACAAAAATGGCCGCATAAGACAAAAGCTCTACAGGAAAGGTTTGGCTGAGAGCAAATCCATTTTTCTTAAATTTTGAGAAAGCACATGTTATGGACCTAAAAAAATGATTTTCTAACTGTGTACCTTGGTCTAGTTGCCATACAGCCACGAGCATGATGCTGATGTCGAAGGAACACATTGAAGATGTACAGGAACAAAATAGATTTAACCAAGCACATTTGATACAGTATGATTTTGGATCAGCGAGAAAGCATTGAGTATGGACAGGGACAGATTCCACGAGGATCACTTTGAGTAACAATATGAGAACTGTATCAAGAGGTTCGCGGTACGAACGCGACAACCACTCGACCTCATCATAAATTCAGGAGAAAGTCTCGCAATAGGCGGTCAAAGTAATCACGTCCTCTAGTGACTTTTAGGTGAATCCAACCCTGCGTCATAATCTGGGTTACCATCCACATATCCTTTATTGAACAGCCGATGCCGCCAGAGAGGTTGAGTCACGCTTACAACCTGAACGTTGGATTTTTAAGTGGCACAAAAATCCCTTTAAGAAATGCTCACCTCATCCTTTTCTCTCATATTTGCAAACCATTGCTGCAGTTTTGGGTAAGTGTCGCTTGGAAAAGTTTCATTGCGAAGATCGATTACATTTGGCTAAAAAAACTTTCATAGAAATTTTGAACAAAGAAATTATCAGACATGTCACCTCATGGCTCCAAATCCATATTCTTTCCATAAATGGGTATGTCATATAATCAGCAAAACCAGCGTCATTACCTAAATATCTGATTTGCGGTTGTAAGCAATCTTTATATTGAAATTATCAAAGGAAATTAGAATCATTTAAAAACCTAGGTGATACTTCACAAAAAGTTCGAATGCTAAGCCATTGCAAACGTTCAAAATAGTTTCAGTTTCTTAAGGCGTTTATAAGCAGGAAAACTTTGGTCAAATGGTTGAAATTGAGTTGTAATAGTCAAGTTGAATTCACCGAAATTATACTCGAAGTTGTGAAAAGGCCAACGAAAGAGATAATAGCTACAACTGAGCCAGTAACTCGGATGGACAAAATAGGTTGCGTATTAATCTTGACGAAACCGTCAGGACTGTGTAGCCTATGTTTGGTTCGAAATAATCTTACGAGATCGAAGGTCGATATTTGAAAGGTCAGTGTTGCAGGATTTGAAAAATCATCAGAATGTTCAAAATTTTTAATTATGAGGGTTTCCGATGAATCGTTGCGATGGATAACGAGACGATACCGTCGTACACCCATAAACTTCAACTTGATAGTTTTTTTTCTAATTTCTAGTTGATCTTTTCTTCAATTTGGATCTGTTCTTTCTCTAAAAATATAACTAAAGTAAAAAATTCACGTCCTGTTAGATTTTGTGCATGCAATGGTTTACTCGCTATCTCTCCGTCGCGGCAATTTCTTGAAAACCCTCTCAATGGAAGTAATTTTCAAACGTTTGATGGTTCAAGTTCTTGTGCTGGCTTTCAAATATCGATATCCACTCTCGTAAAAATCATTTTGAACCAAGTACAAAGTTCTGACGGTTTTGTCAAAATTAATACGACGCAACCCGTGTTTTCCACCGGGCTCAACCTGTATTGCTGAAATTGCTAAATTTGAAGGATTATCTCACTAGAGATACTTTGGGCAATTTTGTTGATGATGATATGTTAGCTTGAAGTTTTTTCGGTTTGCATTATTTCAAAATTCAAAATACAATAACTTTTTTGAAAACAACTCTGTTCAATATTCTCAATTTTTTATTGAATTTCTTGGTTATCAGAAAAATACGTAAGTATACAAACTCAAGTCATTTTTTTTGTACTCTTATCCTTTTCTGTCTAGTGGCAGGAACGAAAATAAATTGAATACTCTTGAGTTTCGTTATTTTTACAATTTGTTCATTTTCTTATTAGAGAGCGCGATATGGAGATTTTCTTGCAATAAGACATTTCTTAGGTGAGACCGTGTTTGAGCCACCTGGGATCTTAGGCCAATATCGCCTGACTAGGGATGCTATCAAAATTTGATTTGCATTAGAAAGAGAAGAAATTGCTCCCCAATGCCACAGATAGTACCGCGTTCAAGACGACTTTTTAGAGCGGTTTTCCAAACAAAAGGCAACAAATATTATGCGTCTTAATACTAAAAAAACTCAAGAGAAAAACAACAAAGAGACGATGTATCTGTGCCTTGCTCTGACTTGAATTTTGTATGTAAGAGGAGACTCCGCTTACAATAATTCTTCCAAGTTGTTCTTTGGAAGCATCTATACAAGAAGGCGAATTGCATTGAACAAGTGCGGATCACTACTTTTCCTTTCATAATTGAAACGAACCACCGAAGTATGTTTCGTTGAGCGCTCGTTCTGCTACCTCGAGAGCTTCATGCACAGCTCTACGAGCTGGTTCCTGCTCCGATGATGCTCTTTGTCCGTCAATTATAGCTCGAACTGCTGCTGGCATCTACAAGCAAATTGATATCTATTAAGTGAATCAAGTGTGATTGTACCTTTGCTTCTATGTTTCCAGCAATCATCCTCTGTTTTGCTCTCAGATAGGGATCCTCTGGAAGGATGAGTACCTCAGGTCTACTCCAATCAAGATATTCACAAATTAGCGCTGAGTCAGTGATAATCTGTAAAAGCAAATTAAGGGGTTCGATTCCTTTGATAATGGAAGGGATATGCGTTCCTTACCTTGCCATTATCCTCCAGAACTGGCACTCTTTCATCAGGATTCTTTTCCTTGAGGAATGATGGTTTATCGGAAAGATTTACGTTTACAACCTCAGCGCTGAAAATGCAGATTTTGATCATAAGATAACTCTAAATAACCGAAACATCCTTCGAATAACCATAATTTTCACCTGATGTTCTTTTTGGCTAGATATATCAAAACTCGTTCACACCAAGGGCAAAAACGCATGGCGTACAGTCGCAAAGGAAGAGATGGTTTTTTGAGTTGGTCACCTAAAAAGTTAAGATTTATAGATAGGCAGGAACAAAACAATGATTTTTTTTAGAAAATATTTATCTAAAATTCAGCAATGTGGCATCCGAGACCTGTTTTTCGTTTTTGCGCAATCAATGAGAAACTAAGCATTTTCATAAGAGAATTGTATGAAACATGCTCTCACCTCCTCGAAGCGACTTTCTTTCCAAGCCGATGATTTCCGGAGAAACAGACATTGGCAGCAGGAATAAGACAAGACAAACTATGGCGCCAAGCATCGTCGAGTGAAACCACTAAAATGCACATCGGCAAGGTCAACTCTTGATTTTCTGTCCAAAACATTCTTATCGAGTCATTAACCCCATTTTATTCTATTCCTTACTAACCGTATCAACAAGAGCGCATTCGCTCAAACTGACACATTTGTTGCGTTGACGGTTGTGTTGTATAGCAGGTTCGCCAAAATCAATTAAACTCAATAAATTGAAATACATGCTTTCTGGGGATCCTTGGCAAAATCTTTTCATCTTAGCGATTCCACACAGTGCCCTTCGAGCTCCTACCTCTATGAAATTTTACGAGAGCGTTTTATTAATCAAGATCCGCTTCTAGTCTACAATTGGAAAGAGATTAGCCGCTGTGAGTAGATCGTAGGTTATTAATGGGATGAATATTGTTTCTTATTCTCCCTGCCAAAACGGTAAAACGCGATATCGCCAAACCAGAGGATAATCACTACAGTATTAGGTTGATATATCTCAGTCAATAAGTCACAAATTCGTTTTATTGTATATTAGAGAAAAAATCTTGTTTTCTTTGATCTATATGAACTTTGTGACAAATCGCAACGATACAAGCTGACCAAGACGAATACCCAGAAAGTGGTTTCTTCTCAAATTTGATAAATCAAATTGCTAAAACGCTACCAAAATCTAGTTTCAGTCTCGATTCTGGTTTTGTAATTTGCTTTGCGCAAGTGCGTGTTGATTGGTAATCTCTACATTTTAAATGAAAACTTTGATGTGTTTGGTAGGATACGACGTTCACCATTCTTATGAAAAGTATGTGATTTAATTCGAAAAGTTTTTTCAAAATGATATCATGTATACTTTACAGAGAGAAGTGAAAGGTCTCGACAAGTACGATATTGTGGGTCCGATACTGCAGCTAGCTATTTTTTAAAATGAGACAAATTCTTGTCAGAAAACGAACAGAATTGCTAGAAGTGACAAGAGGAGAAGATGGGCTTTATGTAGTTTACAGAAGCATAATAAAGTTTCTGCAGCATGGAACTTGCATAACAAGGTCCTTCACATTTCTTGAGTTGATCTTAACCTGCAGAAAGAGAACATATAGGAAAGCAGGAATCTCAAGTAGGCGACATTAGTAGACATTACAATCTGATTTGAAACTGTGACCTTCATGGATTGAATAGCAACGCCTTCCTCAATTACAGTTTTTACCTCCCACTTTGCATCTCGTGCCATATAGAGTACCAAAACTTTATACCCGAAAAGTTATAAAATTTGAGTATCTATTCATTTCTTTCTCAAATCAATTTTATTTCAATCAAATGGAATCTATAATGAGCTCAAGTGTCTGTCATTAGCTTACAAGACTCTGATTGAAAAAGAAATCAAGAGAGCTACCTTTTTTCCAGATAAAGGTTATATTAGGTCGGTTCAAAAGTTTTTTTCGTTATTTGACTTTTTCTCGAACGTACAAAATGACGGTGATTGAATGGCTAAAAAACTATTCTACGCAGCTCTCTTCTACTTTATAGCAGTCATTTTCCTTTGCTGGCAACTCTTATGGTCACTGAAATAATCGCCGAAATTTCCAACTCATTTTTTTTTCACCATGTCCAACTTTGGCTTCTAAGAACCTTCATTTTGAAATTTTGGGAAAGCTTTGATAGCACTAAGATAGCGTAAAGAAATTGCGATCCAATGCAATTCTTTGGCATCTCCAACTGGCTTCTCTGAATTTTTCAAAATAAGCTTTTATACTTTTGCGAACTCGCAAAACACACAAACGCTGCAAACACTAACAAATTTTCCGCTTGAAATTTTGAAAATCGGCTATGATCACGCACTATTTTTACAGAATGAATGAGCGTTTACTGCTTTGAAATGTCAAAATTCGCATTTTACGTGTACAATCTGAGGCGAGTTCAAAATGAAGAATAATGATGGTTTTATTAGCATGTAAAAAAAACAAGAACCTGCATCGAAGGACACCTTGATTGTGAGCCGTTTGATGTTTTATGAATTTTGGAGGACCGAAAGTGGAATTTGAAAGCATCAAAAACAAAATTTCAGAAATTCTGAAGCATTACTAACTGCCAAAAAATGCTTTGCACTGCACTTTATTCACCCTATTTGACTGTTATCGAAGTTCTTCCAAAAGTTTGAAAGGAAAGTTTGGAGAGATCACCAAGATTGGATATGGTAACAACCATGGCTTCGAATTTTTGTCGATTATCTCAGTGACCACAGGAGTAAGGGTGTCTTCATACCGCGCCGGCAGCCGCTGGTTCATCAAATTCTTACTATTTTAAATGCAACCGCCCACGTTTTCCATCTTCCGTGCTTATACAGGGTGTCCCAAAAAAATGTACCTACTGTTTGATTGTAAATAACTCTCTTGTAATGAAGTGTTTCGAGAAGCTTCAGGTACCATTTTGTAGAGCGAGGTTAAACTTAGATTTACAGTATAAAGCGAAACACCTATCGCCCTTCATTACTGTAGGATTACGTTAAGAACTTTCAGCATATTGAACCAATGTGAAATAGATCACCTAACAAAAGTTTTTTCAAAATATTTGAAAAATTGTGTACTAGGGTTTTCGCGCATGCTGATTCTACCTAGCAACTTTTTACGAGTGTTTTCAGCTTTTTAACGGCGCAATTATATACATTTCTGACAAATGCTGGGAATTGAGTTATTACGATTTACCGGGGATGACTTTGGAAAGGAGCATCACAGTAAAGTGAAAACTTTATATTCAAAATCAGCGGCTCCCATTACCGTAGTATAAGAGTTTTTAACTTGTTTGGTTTCGTTCTGAGACAGAATATAGCCTTCAATAGCCTAAAATCCTTGTCGAAGTTCGTACCGTAATCCTACAGTAATGAAGAGCGATAGAGTTTCGCCGCAAATCTAAGTTTAACCTCGCTCTAACGGTACCTAAAGCTTCTCGAAACACCTCATTACAAGAGAGTTATTTACAAACAAACAGTAGGCACATTTTTTTGGGACACCCTGTATAAGCACGGAAGATGGAAAACGTGGGCGGTTGCATTTTTATTTTTCATATTTGTGCCCATTGTTGTTATTAACTCAATGCCGTACATAGGTTATCCTATTGGTTCAGTTTCCCTCTCGCAGTCAAACCATATCTCGCCTAAGTTTCTTCGCGGTGTGATTTTTTCTGACTTTGGATGAGTCCCTTTTCTGTAGTGTTTATTTTTTTTATGAATGTCTGCTTCAATCATATCCTTGGCCGGTGCTTATCTAGAAAAAGTCCAAAGTGCCGCTACGCGGCACTTTGGACTTGTAAGTTAATGAAATCGAGTTGATAGGCGATAAGTTTTTGTAGTCCCAGTAGTGTGTAGACAGCTGTTTGGAATCGTGTGGCACTTCGTCGCAATATAGTTTCATCCTTCTTGTAATTTGAAGTAGAATTCGATCAGATTGTGTTTCTTATTGAGCAAAGTGCAACTGTTGAAAAGATTTCGAAATGTTTACAGGCATGTCCCGGCAGATTCGCGCCTTGGGAGATATTGCTATGATGGGGTTTCTGGTCATCCCACTGACCTCCAGGCGCAGTCCGGCTAGTTGATGTTCCCCCTGGGCCGAGAAAATAGCCCTTGATCCGGCTCGCGCTCGAACGACTTCGCTTACCGTTCGGCGCGAGACCCCACGACCTCCTCTCCCGCATTGTGCATGCTATCCAAGGCACAAATTACAGGCAGCAGGATCTTCGTGCCAGGCCTCCCAATTGAAATTCTCGTCCGAGCTGCCTTTTGGAAGTTGGGTAAACGCCCGAAAAAGGTCTTTTCACCCGTTTCAAAGCGCAAATTCGGGGTCGGGTCGAAAAGCCCAAAACATGCAAAGAGATGGAAATGCAAAATCAGCCGGGACTGCCTTTACGTTTCGAATAGTCAAACCGGTACACTTTCAAAATCACACCTGCCTAAATCATAAGTCGTTTTGCCGTTACTGACGCGAACACTTTGTGAATGATTTTATCTTACTGATGTGAATGTCACCATCTTCAAAGAATAACTCCATTTTCACTGCAGGGAATGACCCCGGTATTGAAACGCATCCAAATCTCTCCACTTCGATTTGTGTGGGTAAGGTCATCCCAGTAATCTTCGTTTCGCAAGTGCGAGCACCTAATTGGGCTCCAGTTTGAACAGTAGTATCTGCCCGAACATAGAAATCAATAAGAGTAGTTACTGTTGAAAGGTTGTCTTTTAACAGCAAAAGAATATGTATGAAATATCGGAAGTCGGTGGTTTGCGTTAGAAAAACATCGGACACCTCGGAGTGCACTTTAGTAGTTCAAAGACCAAATGAGTAAACATCGTTCTGCAGACATGCATCCATGTGACGTCACAGGGTCTTCGCGCTTTAGATAGAGTATGATGATAACTCTGTAATGTGTGAGAGTGGAACTGCACATTAGCAGCAATAGGAAGGAAGAAGCGTGGAAGATGGACAGCGTGAGCGGGCGCACCCAAAGTAGTGAGAGTTTGATGATTTTGCGCATCTATGACAAAAGCGGCTGCTACGGGCTGCTGGCGCTGCTGGCGGCTGCTATGGGCTACTACGGGCTGCCAGTGGCTGCTACGGGATGCCAGCGGCGGCTGCCTCCGCGGTATAAGGGTACCCTAACCAGCACACTGACATACTTTGATTACTCAATAGAATAAGAAATGCTGCCAGGACAGTGTCTCAACCGTTTGCTCGCCCACATTCTGAGTGTTTTTATGACAAGTCAAAAAATAGAACTTTAGAACCGACCTAACATCTTGCAGAGCAAGGCTGTTTTTCACAATAAAGGTTACTTGAATAAAATTGAACGATCGGTTGCCTTGATTGGAGATCTCGATCATAGAGAAACGAGGTGAAAAGAAACTTTACGAGCTTATGGAAAATCTTAATATTCTATAAAATCCTGATGTCTTGCTATGTAGGGCTCAATCTATATGCTACTTCTTCCAAAGTCCATTCAGAAAACTACATTCGTTTGCGGCCTAGTTGTAGTTACATTTCCAGTTG